TATCTATCTATCTATCTATCTATCTATCTATCTATCTATCTATCTATCTATCTATCTATCTTTATGAGCTGTAAACATGAATTAGCTTAACCCTTTAAAGCCCGATCCAAGAAAAATAGGAAGAATATTGGATTTTTTTAGTCTGAAGTCTTTCTTTGGCCCCTCAACAACATATGAAGAAAAAAAAACAGAAATTATTTTGATCAAATTAGCGTGCAATAAGTGAAAAACATATGTTGGTGTAGTCTTCTACTGGCTGTTATCAGGTATATGTGAATGTGTACAACAGGGGTTTGAGCAAAGCTTTTACCACTGAATGATGCAAAAAGTCTCAGATCCAAAAGACTTCAGAAACCGGATCAGATATGACACATTTGGCATTAACTTACCACTTTGAAAGTCTTCTGTCCTTAACCAGGGACACAGTCAGAATTGGTCCCAACAAGAGTCTAACTTCTGCTCCAAAGAAATCCAAACTTCCCCCACCCAAAAAACAAAAACAAAACAGACAACGGCCCCAAACAACATCAACCCAGTTCATCTGCATCTGGTTCAAAGAGGACCAGAACATCTGGAACACGCCACGATGGACAAAATAATAATAAATTATATTAATAAGTCAAGGTTGGGTGGTGGTTAGCCTCACAGCAAGAAGGTTCTGGGTTGGAGTCCCGGAGTAACGCTACCATGCTAACGCTACCATGCTAAAGCTACCATGCTAATGCTACCATGCTAACGCTACCATGCTAACGCTACCATGCTAACGCTACCACGCTAACGCTACCACGCTCACGCTACCATGCTAACACTACCATGCTAACGCTACCATGCTAACGCTACCATGCTAACGCTCACGCTACCAGGACGTCTCCACAGATAGGGGAGTAAGCTGAGGGGGGGGGGCAACATGCAGGTGAAAGGCTGGAATATTATAATGAGCTAGAGCTAATGACGTCAGAAACTACCCACTCCTGAAACCTCCTGACTTATCTCCTGGATTCAGACTGAGGCCGCCCACAAAAACATGACCCAGTCATTTTTTTTCACACTTTGCCTGCTGATAGGCCCTCCACAGTCCCAAATGTACATAATCAAATTATTAAAAACTTGGTTTTGCATAATAAAGTTCTGGTAAGCCGTCTAAAATCAGGTTAACGATGAACTCAGACTTATCAAAAAACCCGGAGAAACGAACTTCCAGCATCATTTTAATTTTAATTAATGAACACTATTCAAGCTGTGTGGGAAAAACACTGAACAGAAAAAGTTAGGGCACACTTTGCTAACTTTTCCCTGCTGTTAATGGACCGGTATTGACCAGTACCGTGCACACACACGTGCACACACACGTGCACACACACGTGCACACACACGGGCACATACGTGCGCTGTTGTGTGGTGTTATGGATCAGTGTTGCCCCCCCCACCTCCCCTCAGACTCCCACCTTCCTCTGCATCACCCTCCATCTTAGTTATTGATTGGCCAATAATGTGTTTTCAGCAGTAGATTAATGGCACATTATCTCCGTACGGGTGTCTGAGGGGACAGGACATGGGGGGGGGTTAGCATGATGCTGATGATGCTCTTTAATTGATATCCGTCTGTCTGTTAGCCGGGGAGATTTTATCT